ATCTTTGTGGCTGAACAGTACATTATTGCGCGCCGCCGTTCAAGAGCAGTAATGATTTCAATTAAAGCTATAAATCTACTAATCCCAGATAAGACCGATTAAAAAATCGAAAAATTAAATCCGGCAGGAACATTCATTATCATTACCATCTTTTTTTCGTTGTGCATTGATGGCAGCCACGACTTTTTTGAGTGATGAAGCTTAGTTTGCCGCACCTCCATTCCCGAGTTGTTGTCAGATTAATTTATTTCCATTCCACGGTGAACTTTGGAATGTTCAGCCTTTGAAAGTATGATTCCCGAAGGCCCGCAGACGTATTAACATTTTTGGCGCGTATACGTAGTATACCGCCTTTGCGATCGTTTCGACCCCCCACTCGATACAATAACCGAGTCCCTTAGTTCCTTACCGAAAAGTGACTACCGCGAACTTCTGAGATTTTCCAAAGCGTGTAAAAAGTTTATTTATCCGTCAATAATTATGATTTAAAGTTGTTTCTCATTCTGGGGCACCCTAGTTTATGTGTAATGAATACCAAGAGTCTGCGTTACTTGGTTTTTTTTAAAAAAACCTTAGAATGGGGCGCGCTGATTTAAAATATGCATATATAAGCAGAAGCAAGCGAACTGATTCGAGGATGGCTGATCAGGTCGGCACTCGTTGAATGAGAATTTCACTTCTTCGTTTTGTTTAAAACGTTGCTTTGACAGATCTCCACAACCCTGTTATGATTTTCAAAATTTGGTATGCCTTGCTCTGATAGCCGGGACCAGCAGGATAGTGGTAAGTGCAATCAGTGATGAGCCTCGAGACTCATTAGACCATGTGCTAACCGTGGCCCATACAGAAATTCACTCCCCTATCAGGCCAAAACAGTGCACAGGCAGGCACAAAACCCAGGTAGTGGCTCGGTTCGCCGCGTCGCTTCCCAGCTGAAGAACAAAAGGCGACCCTCGCGGTCCTCGTCATAGTCAGACCTGATTACTTTCACTCGATTACCCATTTCACCGTCACGCTGGGATCCATCAAATTTTCGAAAAAATTGTTTCGCGAGTACTTAGCAATTTTTTCCTTACTCTCCGTTCAAAGACGAATTGAAAGAGGTCTCATTCATAAAAATCGGCCGAATAGAAGAGAAGTTACAGTATTCGAAATCCGAAGAAATCAACGAAACTTCTCCAAACAAAAAATAAAATGAAGGGGAAAAAAGAAATGTATAAATTACAATTAAATATAATTGACCTCAGAATTTGGCAAGCAATTCGACTATATAACGGAGAAAAAATTGGGAGAAATTACAAAAAAATTCGCCTCTTGCAAGGGGCTTCCTTGTAAGAATTTTGATCTGAAGGCAACGATTGAATACCAGCGCAATACACCATACAATACATGGTGTGCCTGAATGAACATTTTATTTGGGTCAAAATCGAAAATTCTTTATATTTTTCAACTACAGTGTCTCTTGAGTCGTTTAAGCCAAAAAAAAATTCCATCAAGATTCTGGAAAGTAAAGGGGCTTTAAAAGTATTCTGGAGCTATGCATCCTAATTGTGTCCACACATGGTTTCTGTTCAGCATATCCATGTGTAAGTATTTTTACACGTAGAATCTAATTTTCACGTCAGGGAGTCGACACATCTCGATTTTTTCGATTTTATACGGAAAATTGATGGTTTTTCGGGATTGAAATTATTATTGTTTCATGAAAAATAAATGCACCCAAAATGACTGTAGCATATTGATTTTTATATATTTGCACCCACGAAATTGGTTGGTAAATTCAACGAGTGAGTGCATCGACCTGGTATATCAAGTTTCTGCAATTTCTTACGGCAAATCGGTAGATTTTCGGGATGTAGATTGCTTACTTTCAATTCATGAATGAATAAAGCATGGACATGGTTGAACTTCTTTGCATGGAAATACGTTTAAAATAACAAAATCAAGACATATTTAATGCAATTACATTTATATCGAGTCAATTTCTTTTCAATAATATATCGGGATTTATAATAGGTACCGGTGATTTGGATATTTTAGCCCCAAAAATACCTTTAAATCGACTGTATCTTTCAGGAGTTCGACAGAATTTTTCCTTTCTTCGCTTAAATTATTCCGTAGCACTTTTCTTTAAGAATCTGATAAGATATTGCTGGGGGCAGATCAAAAAACTTAAACTCGTTCGAACGGCTTTCTACATTCACAATACAAGGTCTCTTCAAAGTGCGTCGTTGAAGAGTTGGATCGTATGAATTCTCTTGTTGTGCTACTTGCCTATTTTGAAATCTCTGTAAATGAAAACTAAAGGGGTTGATATGTGTGAGTTAATGACGCGCCTTATCAACACATTGTGTTGGAGTTCACTGCTTGTTTTTTCTTTCTTTTTTTAAATGAGATAGGTTATTTTCTTGAACAGAAATTGCGATGGTTTTTGCGACTTGGTTGCATAGCTATGTTTAATTTGGGCGTATCTCTTTCAATCGGAACTAAGCGCCATCGGGGGAGGAAGGGGAGGGGGGTTTGGAATGGCGGATGTTGCGGAACGCGATGCTCGTTCCGTCCTATACTCGCAATGCTTTTCCATGGCGCTTAGTTCCGTTTGACAGAACGTACTATCCGGGATTCTAAAATCCGCCAAAGGAACTCAAATTGGCGCTTAGTTCCGTTTGACAGAAATACGTCCATTTGAGCTAAAACTACAAAGAGGAGAGTTATTTTTATGTAATCTCACGAGCACTTGAACGAAATGTACCAGAGGCCAGGAATAGCAAATAATGCCCATGTAACTTGATAATTTTTCATTTAATTTTGCTCAAAAGTTCGAGTCCGCACTGGCCAGAATTGTTTACACAATTATTATTTCTATAAATATGATGTTCACGTGATTTTTGATTCCTTACTCCGGATACAACCCTATCTTGAATTTGACCGACTCCGGAATTTGGCCAACCCATAATAAAATTAGTTGTCACGGTGTTATGACCTCAACCTGAAGAGTTGTTATGAGAGTTGCTTTTTAGCAAAACCGAACTCATGTACATCCAGAATCAACGATGTTCTTCGAGTCTCTTTGATGTTGTCTACGTTTATTGCTTGGTCAGTGCCGCCCGTATCATAAATTTTAGTCTCGTTAGCTAATTTAATTCCATCTATTCATCATGTTTGCTTCTAGAAACAGTGCCTTTATGAAGCCAATTTATTAAGATCAATTTTTCTCTTATGTTCCAGGTATGTGCTTCCTCCCTCTCTTTTGTTCGATTGCAATGGGCCTGTTGCAAACTTTTGCTAGAGCAAAAATAAGAGCTGTTTCTTATAGATAATGCCTCAAAAATCACGATGAGCGCATCGGCAAAGTCTGAAATGCACTCATAACTTCACAATCTGCGTAAGAAATTTGCGTTTTTTTAAGCTTCCCGCTTCAAAAACGATACTACGGCATAGGTGAACATTTTGTTAGAGGAGTCGCTCCATCGTCGGCGATATTCATCATGGCCGACGCTTGCACGCAGTTCCGCGCGTAATTCAAGGAGAGTTCAAGGTCAATCAATTCGGGCGTGGAAAATATGAACGTTAACACACCGATTGTTATCTGGTCTAATCCAGTTCAGGTGTTATCTCGTCCCATCAAACGTGTTTTGGCGGATTGGCGTCGGCTATGATGATTATTGCCGACAATGGAACGACTCCTCTTACAAAATGTTCACCTGCGCCGTAGTATCGTTTTTGAAGCGGGAAGCTCAAAAAACCGCAAATTTCTTACGCAGTTTGTGAAGTTATGAGTGCATTTCAGAGTTTGCCGATGCGCTCATCGTGATTTTTGAGGCATTATCTATAAGAAACAACTCTTAGTTTTGCTCTAGCAAAAGTTTGCAACAGGCCCATTCTCTACATTTTTTGTAAGTATCAAAGAAGAATATTTTAATAATTTATGTTGCCGAGCATGCATGCTTGTTTTAAAATTTGGTTTTAATGTAATAAGGCAGCGAATTCCCGATATGTTAGGAGGCACTCTGTGGATACAGGCTCCGATTTTGGAACAGCTATGCACTTTCTTCGTACATGAAGTTTAGACTTTTTGTTCTCATTTACTTAACGAACAGTAAACCAACATAGGCTATAATCCATCAAAGCTTATTTCGGTCCAAACAGAATTTACCCACATATACTTACTTTTACAATTCTTAAGATTACTACAAAATACGCCAACGGTGCATGTTACGCATCGATGGGTGAAGTCGAAACGTGCCTTTATCCATTGTAACATTTCGGAGATTTTTAAACGCTGCAAGTGTTTCGCGTGCAGGAGTTACGCATTTTTCGACTTTAGCCATTGATATAATACCGACAACGGTACACGACCTCAACGGCAATGACACGAGTGCCCTTAAAGGTCTGGATACACGCTCAAATTCCGAACCAATTCTGATCTAAGTAGACCAGTTGATGACTGATGGTCACCATGCAACAGTCCTCTTTGATCAAAATTGGACGGGCCGTCAAATTTTGATCAGAATGGAGTGCCGTCATCCGTCATTTCCTGCCGCACGAAACATTTCTGCCAAATCATTTTAAAATTTAGCAAAGTAATGATCTGATGACTCCCGACACTTTGATGGTAATTGGTTCGGGAATTTGATCGTGTATCGAGACCTTATCGCAAACGAGATCTCTTCACGTCCCACCGGTCTCGCTCAACACTCAACAGCAACACCACAGTGGGCGAATTTTATCGGGAGCCGGCAACCCCACACGAGACTCGATTCGTACATCTTTATCAGTTTAATTAATTGACTGATACCGAGTCCGAGCCGAGAGTCGCGCGTGTTGCATACCCGGCAGGCGCTGAGAGTCGCCGAGCTAATATTTGGCATTCAAGACTTAATTCTTATCGCCTTTTCTCCCCCCCCCCCTCCTCCTCACCCACCACTTTCTCCCGACCCCGCCCGGGCGGCGCGGGGCGATTCATGTGTGGCTTTTGTAAATACTCGGTGGAGGCAGCATCGGTAGCAGTAGTAGCCCATCTTCTTATCTCCCCGCGCGCTGCCATATTTTGTTGTTAATTTTTTATCCGAACCCGCCGCATGCACTCGCCTTGCAGTCGTCGATCAACTCACGAGGCTCTTGCAGTCTTCCCCGTGCATTTTTTACTCGCCGCCGCTGTGTATCCTCCACACGCTCGAGTCGCGTCTCCAAATGTCATTTTCGGCGCGCGAGAAATTGTGCCGTTTTTTTCCTGCCGATTGTCACCCCTTAAAAAAGCAACCGAATCGACATTTTCCCTCTCTGTCTGAAATGTTACAACTTAGTCGATCTCAATAATTACCACCGGCTACATTCTCCCTGACACAGCCTTTCAGTGTTAATAGCCATCGAGACACGAAAAAAGGCTGCCTTTGACTGAAAACCATTTTTTCTCCCATCAAAGTTGCGTTAAGCTTTCAGCCTTTTCCGATCCGGCCGAACATCGTCGGCCCTGAAATCTTCAACGCATATTTTCGGTCGAAAATTGTCGCTTTCGCAGAGCGCCGGTTTTTCGTCGTGTCTTGAAACGTGCTGAACGCATATGTTTTTCCTGCTCCAAATTGACAAAGTTTATCGAACTGTTATAACCTAAGTTTTAGAACGTGCCCTAAACGAAAAAATTCCGTTTTCTTGTCCTCACAAAATCATTTTTCGAATATCCTAAAAACAAGGTTCACACACTTTTTTCGGGAAAAATGATGACTTTAAGCAGTTCTGTCGAATCGGAAGATTCATGTGCCGCTGTGCTTGTCATGCTGCGCGGGCAGTGCCAGTGCCTCGGTATTTTCGAAAATCATTTGAAACTGTTGACTTCATGAGCATGAACCGTTGTAATTTTAAGTTCCTGTGATTTCCTAGCTCAGACCAATATCAGAATACCTCTTCGTACCAGTGTCAAAATCTTTGTACGGTTTTTCATATCAGTTTAATTAAGATTTACTTCGAATCGTGAATCATATCGCCTTGCTCAATTTTCCATTGTTCGGAATCTCATCTGTGTTGCCGCATACTGCCGAAATAAGTTTTTACCCCTCCGAGTCCTGTCCCTGGAATTACTAGCTGCCGTAATGAAAAGGTAATAGGACCTTCGTATTAACTCATTTTGAATGTTGCTACCCGATATTTTGCCTCTTTTATCACTCCCTTCATTTATGCTACCGTGCTAAAGAAAAACGCCGTATGATTCAAATGTGAAGATGGAATGTTGCCAAATTGCCTCTCAGGAAATAAGGACTTATCTGTAACAATAGCGGATGGGAACCTTTTCAAAACACGCTTAAAAAACTGTTTTGCTCACACAAAAATTTAATATGTTAGGCTCTGGCAGAATGTACAGATCTCGAAGATCACATCTCAAGTATTTTCTCAAAATTTTCTCGATGCCAAAACAGTTTTTTGAATGTGTTTCGAAAAGGTAATTTTTCACATCCGCTATTGTTACAGATAAGTCCTCAAATATTTATTTTTGCAGAACTTTATGAATATTTTTCCTTGAAATTCTGATGTACTTTAGATGAAATTACCAGCGAAACCCTCCGAAAAATTCGCAGAAAAATATTTACAAATTTACCCAAAAATTCGTGATTTATCAAGGGAGATTTGGCAACGCCTGAAGGCTTATACGGCGTTTTTCCTTAGCACTGCAGTATACCTCAAAAGTTAAAAAAATGAGGTTTCGAACAAAAGAAAAACAATTAAAATGAAGTCCTTGTAAGGCTTTGTCCACCAGAGCACAGTTCAAGCGAACTTGTTCTAGGAACTTACTTTAACTCAACGATAGCTCATTCCACGAGCGCTCAGTTCGAGGAAATAATTCGCTCAAACTGCGCTCGTGTGGACAAGGGCTAATAAATAAAGTAGCAAAGAAAGATTTTAAATAATTTAACGATTCTGTGCCACTTCGCCCTTTTATATACTCGTTAAAACTTCTATCCCCCACCGCTCACCTTCATCCCTATGCTGTCTTGCTAAGCAAGAACGCCGTAAATCCATCAAGATTTTCCTTCGTTTTTTGGAACTTAACATTTTAGAAAATAAAGACTGTGTTACCCATGCACCTCAAATTTTCAGGTTAAGTTCTTGATGGTAATTGCAAAAAAATTCTGTAAAAACATTGTCTAAAGGTACACGAGTTTTTCTGTAATGATACATTGTCTTCAAAAAATTTAAAATGGCGTTTACGACGTTTTTGCGTTGCACAGGAGCATGGTAATCAATATGTCATGACACAATCGTTTCAGCATGCTGTACCACCACTTACGAAGAGATAACGTCTAAATGTCGCGCCTGTGCATGGCTTCATTAACAATCGAGTATTGTATGAGGCTTCAATTGACTCTTTCAACTCTCCATTTGCAAAGAGGATTATAATTATCCGGAGAAAGGCTCGTGATTGGATGAAGGTTTCCCGCGCATCGGAAGCAATACCTTCGTTCGGTCGGCAATCAGTCCTAACTGGAGTTAGCGCTCTTTGTTCACATTTTGCCGTACCTTTTTTTTTTTTTTTTTTTTTTTTTTTTTTTTTTTTTTTTTTTTTTTATTACTTTCGCTCCCCTAGGGTAGAGGAAGTATTGTCATCTTGTAAGGAGGGGGGGAAAAAAGTTGAAAATTCATCATTTCTAGACGTTTTAAGGTCTCAGGAGTCAAAATAACCATACTTGAAAAAATGTGCGTCCGTCCGTCAGGCGTCCCCTAAATCTGTCTACAGCGATATCTCAGAATCTATCTGCATGTTCAATTTCATTCAAAATTTGCACAGAGCACCATATATATGGTCTCCTTATTTTTGCTGGTTTATTGGCTTTTTTTCGTGCGGGAAAATTTATGGAAAATATCAAGTTTCTTTGAACGGCTGAGCATGATGGCACGGGGTGGCTGATCATTAATCATGTTTACCTCCTCTTTCATTTTTATCAGGCATTCTTCTTGTTTCAAATGCATCTAATTTTGGAGCTTTCTTCTCTCTGAAATTAGTTGCATCCGACAACCGAGAAATATCAACGATTGAAGGTCGGCGGATTATTCTCATCGATTCCACAGCAGCTACATTGTCGGTCCATAATGAACTTTATTTTGGGAATATTTACCTGAAATAGGAGAATTATAAATAGGAAGAATGTTGTGATTGTAATGATATGGTTACTTTCGTTGATATTTTGACAAGACTGACTTCTGAGGCCTCTTCGATCCGTCGAGTTGTCCTCTTGTCATCGTGTTGTCTCGTTGTTTTTTCTTCTTTTTCTTTTCTTTCTCAATTAGATGGATTAGATGGATGTAAGTGAGCATGTAAAGTGCTAAGTGCTTTTGTGTATCAGTCGCTGAGAGTGTGGGCAAGGATTGGAGTGCTTTTGTTATCAAGTTGTTCGGTGCAGGTAACAATTATCGATCCTCACTTCTAAAGGCGAAACGAGTCGTCGAGTATTGTGTAGAGAGGTAACAAATCCGGCGGAGTTCCAGTGAAACAGCCCGGGAAGCATTTAACCGCGAGGTAAATCTGAAGCACAAATGTTGTCATGTTAGAATCTTCGATTTTTTCCGGGATATAACCTTAAATGATTTTAAAGTTTTGAAATAAGTTAAAGCAAGAGTGTGAGTAGACCGCACCGAACAGAATAAGGGAAGCGGCGTCAATTCAGTGCACTGGAAAAAAAAACATTGGATCTAGAGTCCAGACTCTTAAAAACATTGACAAGAAAAAATACCCTTGATTCAATCAGATTTAAGCTTAAGTCAAGAACCAAGCCTCGTAATTTGAGCGGATTTCCTTTTGATTTAAGCTTAAATCCGATTGAATCAAGAGTCCTTTTTCTTGTCAATGTTTTCAAGAGTCTGGATTCTAGGTCCAATGTGTTTTTTTTCCGGTGTGTTGTAAGCATCGTAAATCCTCATATTTATCTAAAATCGGCGCTTTCCGGACAAAGGAACCCAACTCTATTCCATGGTTGCAAAATTAACTCAAACAACTCGATTTTTTACAAGAATATAACGAAGCAATTTTTTTCCACGTCTGATTCTAGCATGAGATCGGATAATTTTCAGTTTGAAATTCCTATATAAGAATTTACGGTTAAAATTGTCATTTGCGTGGAGAAATTTGGCAACATTGAAATGTAGTCACGTTCTTTCGTGGGGGAAACGACGAAATATGTACTGATTGTAAAAAGAAAATAATTCTTGCTTTTCTACCTAAGTATGTTTAATTTAAGGAAGAAAGATTGTATAAATCTCATTACCGTGCATATATTTAGTAGGGGTATATATTGTAGAAGTTACACGATTCTGAAAATACTATGCTCGAGTTTATTACCTTTTGTTCAATGCACTATTACTGATCTCCCCACAACTTTCATACTAAGTTACCATAAAATTAACACATTAATTTTTGAAGTGCAGTCCGTCAACTAACATAAGTTAGTTCAGCGAAAGTTTAGATAGCGATGAAGTGTTAATATTAAAATAACTTCGTGCCAACAATTTCAAAGAATCCCGAAGAGCCTTTAATAAAGCTTCGCCAAAACCGTATGATATTGACATTTTGATTGCTAAGGAAACCTCACAAACTCTCTAAGTTTTAATGACAACTACTTGAATGTTAGAATCACGCTTATTATGTTAAAGGGCTCCTCTTCTAAGTCCTCGTCGTTTTTGCTGTGTTCCGTAACGGGATTACAATGTTTTATAATCATTAATCTTCGTGGTATCTCATTGCGTTCTTACTTCTTATGTCAGAGTTTTCACTGTCGTAGGTATTGAGAGATTTTTCGGTCGCAATTCTCACATAGCACAGGTTGAGATTTCTTGTATTGTAATCTTCATCAGATATCGTACAAATTCTCAAATATTCCCAGCGTAGCCTGTGAGCTAATGACGGGTAACACCTAAGTCTGCCGTGCTAAGGAAAAACGCCGTATGAGCCTTCAGGCGTTGCCAAAGTTCCTTTGATAATACACGAATTTCCTGGTAATCTTTTGAATGTTTTCCTTACAATTTTTTAGATAATTTTGTCCGCAATTTCACCTAAAGTTCCTGAAAATTTCAAAATGAACATTTTATCGAAGAAGATTTGGCAACTCTCGAATGTTAATACGGCTTTCTCCCTTAGCAGCGCCGAATAGTTGCAGCTTCCAATCCAGAACAAATCCTGTTGTTGTATAATTAAAGGAATTTTCTTTCCCCAAGTTCGATCGTCTCGACCGATCCGGTTATCATTGAGTTTTTCCAGGGTATCGTTACAAAATCTTAAAGTTATCGGCAAATGTCATCATATTCCCACGTGAGAACTGCCACTGCGGTAAATTTCTAAAGTTAGAAACCTAAGATCTTTGTTCTTTTAATTATCTCGCCCTATCTTTCTCCGAAGAAGACGTTCTAGCAGAACATTGCGAATGGAATAATATCGTTCCGCGAAACCTAACCTACAGGCCTGTAATTATATAATGAATTAACATATTTTTCCGCAAAACTGAGGTTATCAACTGATTGATCCCACATTTTCTCGGTTTTTTATCTGTCCGCAAGTGTAAAGAAATTATGTGGTCGGATTATCTAATTCCTATTTCCCATCTTAGATGGCTCGACAGCAAGCTTATCCCATCGCTAAAGTCCGATGATTTACGTTAGTTTTTCCGTTCCTGAAATCTAGGTCTTCGTTACTTAATGTTAGTTTCTATTTTAGAGTCTTTAGTCCCTCTCTTCCTCCCTTTCTACTTTTTTTGATTTCCAATCAATCAACCTTCTTTTGCTCACCTCTCCGTGATGTGCAACACAAGAGGTTTCTTTCCCTTTGTTCATTCCTGAGTCCACATTCAGATGTGGTGGGTTTTAGGACCGAAATGGATTTTTTTATTTTTTGCTCGAACGTGAATTTATCAAGTTGAAATGAGAAATAAAATGAACATTTCGCTTTTGTTGAGTATACATCTCGGCGAAAATATATTCACTGGAAAAAAAGTCTCTTTTGGGTCCCGAGTAGAGACTTTTAAGTAATTTGACAAGAAAAAAACTCTTGATTTAATCGAATTTTATCTTGAATCTAAAGGAATCCGCTTAAATTAAGAGGCCTTGGCTCTCGATTTA